TTCTCTGGTGGCCTCCTGTCACACAGCACTCATGCCACTTCCTAACTTCCTTGTGCTTGGAGATCTTTGCTTTGGTTTTATCATTGCAGACTGCTGCTCCCTGTGAGAGCCACTTTAAGTATCAGCAAAATGAATCAATGGGATTGGTGATGGCAGCAGATAAAATGCAGGGTCAGATTCTGAGCTGACAGGTGCAAATGGGATGAATTTGGGTGTGAATCTGATGTCCTTTGGGCAGATCAGCCATTAACATTGGAAAGAATACTGCAATTTACTTGGCYGAGGCTCAAACCTGCCCCTAGGTCTCCTCAAAGACAGGAGTTTTTAATCTGAGCTCAAAAACCCTGACTGAGTCATTTCACCATTTATCTGTGAGAGGAAAGGCAAATCCTTACTTAATCTGGGTACCAAGGCTTTCCCTCTCRCTTGTTCTTGTGACTCACTTTCAGTCACAGCCCTGTACTCGATGTGCAGAAATGACCCCTATATTTTCTCTGCAGAAGAGAATATGTAGTCCTCAAGACAGCTTGCAAGGGAAATAAATAAAACCCATGTGATTTTTTTTTAATTTTTTTTTTTTTTACAATTGATCACATGCCATGTTTGGGGCTGACTTTGCAAAGACAGCTGACCTGTGCAGAGTATCATTACTCACCACCTAAGTCTCTTTCCCTGTGTAGGCAGAGTGTTTCTAAGTGTTGATTCATTCATTTTGATACACTTCCTTCTGAGCTGGAGGTGGGCTAGCAGGAGTCTGCAGCAATCCCAGTAGGAAGCGTCTCCATCCCCCTCTGTTTATCTGTATGGCATAAAATTCATGGGAGGGGGATGGAAAAGGCCCCGTGCTGTTCACCCTGCAGCTCAGCCAGTCCATACAAAAAGTTACTGAGCTCCAGGACACATGAAAAACTTGTTTGGACTCTCCATGAGCCTGTGAGAGGTTGCAGTTGCTCTCYGTGCRTGATTAACACCGTGTCTTAGCTCCTCATTCCCTTAAAGCTTGATAAAGGTTTTGAGAMGAAGAGTTAAAATAACAATAATTGAAGCAACAAACTTGGAAGAAATGATAAAACGTTGTATTTATCGCATGGATTTGGTACAGGGAATGCCTCTTCTGTTGATGGAGAAGGKTCTTTGGGGTGCATGTTCCTGTCAGGCATGTTTTGTGCTGTGTGATAATTGCTCTCTTTTTCCTTAGGTACCTTTTTCACCAGACAAACATAAATATTTCTTGGTGTTTTGTTTTTGTTTTTTTCTAATACAATAGTGTTGCTGGATTAAATAGTGAAATTACCACAAACCTGATTGCTCAGGTCAGTTAACAACTTTGTTTTCTCTGACAGACCTACAGTTTTGTTTGTAAATTCCATTTTCCTGATCAGGGAAGAGGAGAGGGTGAAAAAGAACCTGAAAAGCTGAACAATGGAAACAGTTGTGTTACACAAAGAGCTGATTTAACTGAGCCTTGATTCACTGTGAGAAAGACAATTGAAATCATTTAGGCTCTGCATAATAATCTTTGCACTTAAAGAGGCAAGCACCAAGGATAAACTTTTATTAAATGTAAGTTACAGCCTGAGCTAAATGCCAGTGAAAGCTGAAGGATGTAAACAGCTCCATTGCTAAAACTGCTCTGGTCAGACTGGGATGGTTATAGCTTTCCTCCACCATTKTATCTATTCCAAATCACTTCAGCARTGTGTTCCCYTTTGTGTCCTTTCCTTTGGATATCTTTGGGTTTTATTAATTATTCAGTTGTGTTAGCACAATGATAGCTGTCTGTTCYCCACCTCATACAGTGGCTCTTAGTTGTGTGAGCTCAGGGTAACTTCCTGACCTGGATATTTGTTCTGGTTCTGGTATTCTCATGGATAAAATTCCCAATACAGRCGCATTATCCATGAGATCATTAATGCAGTTCCACAGCATGGCAAGCCTGATTTCCCAAATGACTGGGGAAGTTACCAGGGTTGTAGTATGCGTGACTTGACTGATTTATGTTGTGTCTGTCCTTCAGTCAAAAGGAGGAAAAATCATTTCCATTTTTATTGCTGACTCTGTAGGAGCTGACACAGGCTCTGAATCTTGCCAAAGGCTGCTCTGCAGCAGTGTTTCCTCTTATGCAAGGCTTCACCAAAAAGGTACTTCACAGAGTGACAAACACTGTGCACCCCAATTTGTGCCTTAGTATTGTCTTGTGCAAKGTGTTTCTGGCTCACTTCTCTCACTATGTCAAGATTTGAACATTTGCTCTTTGGGGTATTTCATTTGGATCACAAGACTGCTGGACCTCATAGATATGTATTAGAAATTCTCTGTGGTGATGGTGGAAATTGAATTCCAGAAGACCTCTTAACCTTACCTTACATCAAATATTACTAAATGGCTTTGGTTTRTATCAACCCCACGAAAGAGGAAAATGGAATTTCTGTGTAACACAGCATTTTTATTTCCTGTGGTTTCCTATAAGGTGTTTTAAATAGGCAGGTAACTGTTCACCATCATTTCTGGGTTTGCTTGGCATGCAGCTTCATGAAGGCAGAATTACAGCTGCTGGGATGGCCTGCATTTCTGCAAGTTTAGGTATTTTGAACAACATCTCACCTTTTCAATTTTATTTCTGTATTACTGTTATTTTATTATGGCAAGGTTCTGGTGACAGAAGAAAAAAACAGACAAACAGGTTACTGACAATCAATTTAGGAAAACTCTCTTAGAAAGAATATCTGTGGGGGATTCATCAAAGTGAATTGATATTGCAATTCTTCAGTCAGCTGCAGATTGCAGCTCCTTCAGTTTTAACACAGTAATTTTAAGGATCTGTGAAGCTGAGAGCCAAGGAAAACAAGAATAAAGGCTRGAGAATGTGGCTTTGTTTTCTCATACCAAGCATTTTGAGTTGGTAAAGCACATGATGTTCCAGCCATCCTTGTATCTTTCCCTATAACATCTCATTTGCTGAGATCTAATGCACTATGGTTGCATGATGTGGCTGGAGCCCAAAAAAACCACAATTTCACCTTCAAAAGTACATGTCAACTAATAGCAGTCAGAAACACATTCTCAAGATACAGGGACCACAAAAAATGTGTATACTTTTCTCTCACACTTTTCAATAGTATTTGAAATTAGCCTTCTTTTTCACTTGAACTTGCTTTTGCTGCTTATGGGTATTGTGTCTGTCTTACATGAAGATGAGGAGGGTGAAATACTCAGCCCAGACCTGGTGGCAGTTCCAAGCCACCAGATTCACTTCCAACCTCCTGCTTTCTCCAGGTGGAATAAACCCTCTACCTGTCCTGGTACATGAAGACCTTTGACCCTTTGACTCTTTTTGAAGCTGTTGATTTTCCCACTCTCGAGTAATGTTTAATGTCAGATCAAAGCAGAGGGAAAGGTTGCAGCTCTAGCAGCTTATTCACATTCCTTAGATGTTTCTAACTGAAGTTCAGCTTGCTTTGGCAGCCCTGCTGCTGCTTTGTGTGTGGTGAGCATTTCTGATGGGTTAGCAGGTCCCTCTCAGACACCCACTGCTGCTTCTGCTCTCCATTGATTTTCTCACTGCTTTTTCTATTAAATGAAGGATTTATTTCTAAAATGTAGAAAATAGCTGGAGCAGAGATTTTTTAAATGCATCAAATATTAGCTGCTTTTGTTTTGGGTTTTTTTTTCCAAATGATTGCTATGTTGTTCTTGCAACTGTTAAAAGACCATTTTGTTGATGAGAACAGAAGGCTTTTATTTATTCATAGCACTGGGAAGGATTGATCTACACAGAAGGATTAAAAAGAACTAAACATGGTCAAACTGGGAGGGGAAAATGACCAAGAAGGATGTCAGCATTAGTAAGAACAAGAGTTAGGGGAGCACTGCAAGTGGGAAGTAAAAGCTCACGCACATCAGCATGCAGGAATGTTCTGGACAGAAGCATTTCTGACATTGTGATGGGCAGGCTTCAGGGCTGGAGTCAGGAAAGTCTCCAGGGAGGGAGTCAGGAAAGCTTTGGCAAGCGTTCTTTGGGGCT